TTACTAGCTATATGTCTTTTAGCAAGTTACATAATTTTTCTGTAACTTGTATTCCTGTTTGAGAGAAAGGTAATAAAACTAACCTCATAAGTGTATTACTAAGAATCAACTAGCAAAAACAATGTGTAAATAAAGATTCAATAAGCATTATCCTTAATATTGTTCTCCTCTTCCATACACACATAGCACTGGCAATGTGTGTAGCTCTGGTATGACACGAACTGTTTTGAATGTCAGCAGTCATTGATGTCAGAGAGATTCTTTTAGACCCAGTAGTTGCCAGGAATTGACTCATAGTAATCAAAAACTTCCTCTTAAGAAAATGTCAGGTCAAGTCCAGCAGAAACGTAACCACACACAGATATCATTATGCATATTCTACCTTATTAAAACCAAGTTTCCTGGATCCCCTCCAGCTTTTCTCGACAAAGCTGCAAATCTTGAGAACAACATGGTTGTTCTCAGGATGTGAGGCTTGTTGCGTAGTGCAGCGTGTGTTGAACTAGCCTTCACCTGCCATAAACAGTCGATGAGAGAACATTTATTGCATCCAACTCAGAAAATACATCTGCCTGGAAGTTCAGTTGGGCATAGTTTGGAGGGAGCAGGATGAGAAAAATGCCAGGGATTCTTATCTCTTGTGTCTAAGATATTGGTGTAGGGCCAGGATTAAAGCATAACTTGTGATGGCTCTGCTGGGGTCCCAGTAACTCCACAAATAAACAGGAGGCATGTGTAGGCCCCGGGATCTGTGCAGCAGGGGCAAATACAACTGTGCATTTCAACAGATGCACACGAACATCCGATGGATTTCAGGAAGGTGTTCTGATGTTCCTTCTATGTAATTTCTTCTTACTTTGAGTTCTGTAAATGTGCTCTGCTCTTCTTTCTCTTTCTCCTGGCCCTTATCCATTTGACTTCTTGCCCAGTGACTCCTCTCTGACTTTCTTTAGATAATTTGAAAATACTGACCATGCAGATGCCAAGGGTGAAAGGGCTCATCATCCCCACTGAGCTTTGAAGAAGTAACTCTCTTTGCTTCTCCCCAGTGGAAGTTTCACATGCTTATTGGAAGATTTGTGCATGTTATTGTACTATTACAATACAAACAAAGAACAATGAACAAAATGATTCAGGGATGACATAGTTATAGGTATTGTTCAAAAGTCAGTCTC